TTCGTCTGAGGATGTCATCTGTGATTAGAAAACAAAGTCCTCTTGATTTGATGATAAAAGTGCCTTCTCTCTGTGGGCACCAATGACTATGTCCACATGAACATGACAGTTCAGAAGGTAAGCACCTGACAATGCAGATGGCAGCAGAGTAGACTGTGCAGGGGTGAGGGGCCGTCGTGTGAGGACGAAAGGAGCACAGTGAGCCATGCAGGGGTGAGGGGCCGTTGTGTGAAGATGGAAGGAGCAGGGTAGGCCGTGCAGGGGTGAGGGAATGCTGTGTGGGGACGGAAGGAGCAGGGTGGGCCATGCAGGGTTGAGGGGCTGCAACAGAGGATGAAAGGAGCAGGGTGGGTCGTGCAGGGGTGAGGGGCTACAGTATGCGGATGGAAGGAGCAGGGTGCAGGGGTGAGGGGCTGCAGTGTGAGGAAGGAAGGAGCAGAGTGCAGGAGTGAGGGGCTGCCGTGTGACTACGGGCAGGACTGTGTGCATCTCTAGGGGAGGGGCTGGAGGTGCAAACCTCAGCCTAACTCTAGGGCTCTGACAATGGTGGGCACACAGGCCGTGACTGAGTATGAGGTCCCACCAACTACACGTGGGAAACACAGCTGCAAGCAGACAGAGTCCTGTCCTCTGGTTCACGTCTGAGAGACCCAGAGGCCCAGTGTTTAAGTGCTCGTCTGCTACAGGAAGGTTGGTGATTTGAACCCAGCAGCCACATCTGGAACAAAGACACTGTGTCCTCCTGACACTGGAAACCACGAGGCCGGTTCTGCTGTCCCATGGTGCTGCTTTGTGCAGGGATGGACTTCGAGGTGATGGGGGTTCATGTCTCTTTACACTCTCCTGTGCGGCTGCACCCACTTCCAAGGCCCCAAGCGCTGCTCTCATCAGACCTTCTCCAGATCTGAATCCAGCTGCCCTCTCCCTGACTGCAGGCACTTACTTCCACCCACCTCAGTACACTTCCCTCTCAGTCTCACAGGACCCTCATGCCAAACATCCCTCTTCATCTCTCAGACCTCTTCCTTCATGGCATCCCCGAGTTTTAGAACCAGTTACTAAAGTAAAAACAACTGTCACCCGCTGGCCTCCTTTGGCCCTCACCTCCAAGTGGCAGCCAAGTCATTCAATTCTCTTTCCAAATCTCTCCTGAGCCATCACCTCTCAGTCATCGTTCCACTGCCTCTGTCCAGGCCTACTCCACCTCTCTCCAACCGTGAGTCACAATTAGTCTCGCTGCTCCAAACTCTGTTCTGATTCATTTATTTACTCATTCAGCACATTAAATACAAGGTACTTCAGCAAGTAAGACTACTGGCTTTATGGAATTTGCTTTCTTTCAATTCACTCAACTTTCTTCCAAAATTAAATGTGCTCATGCCCAAGTGTAAAAGCTTAGTAAGAGCTTCTAGTGAAGGAGAAAGCTAGGAGGGACCTGGGAGGCTAAAAAGCAAATGTCAAGAGCAAACATGAAACAGAAAAGAGGAGGCTGACTCCCCTAGGATATTAACTTGGTAAAACTGGTGGTACCACAGTTAATCATCAAGCTACTAACCAAAGGTTGGCTGTTCAAACTCACCCTGCTGCTCCACAGGAGAAAGACCTGAAAAATCTGCTTTGGCAAAAATTATGGCCAAGAAAACTCTATGAAGCCACAAGGTCACTGAAAGCTGAAAGCAATTTGATGGCACCTGTTAATAATCTTTCTCCTTAAACTCTTAATTGATGACTAATTAGTTTCCTATTTCACTAAGGAAACTGACACAATCAAAAGGCCTTCCACATTTCCCAATTACTCTGAACTGAGGCGGTGTGGTTAAGATTCTGCCATCTCTCCAGTAATTTTATGCTTTCTAGTCCACTACCAAACCCTCTAACCCCAACCAGGTCTTTCCGCTTACAAACACACGTCTTTCCACCCACAAAAACTCTCAAATGCTCTTCCTAGTCCAGCTACCACCTCATGTCTCCCCCTTTTTTTTTAAATGTGTGTGTTAATTTAATCATACAAATATTCATTTATACAGTAAGGAAAAACCTCCTCATCTTCATCTCCTCCCAGGCACCATGAGGCCTCACCACAAACACCCACCCAACTCACTTACTATACACACTACTGTTTAGGTAGACGGGGCAGCCATTGCCGCTCCTGCATTCACCCCAGGAAACAAAGGGAAGGCGGGTGGAGTGGGCTGGGGAGGGCATCAGTTTGCATCCCAAGCCCTGGCAGTCCCAACTGGTCTCTCCTACTAGAGCTCAGACCGCATGTGGGCAGTGTTTATTGTCATGCCCACTTCTTATCCTGGCTACTCCAAGGCCACACCAGTGATCTTAGTGAGGGTTTTCTCCATTCTGGAAGTGGCTTTGATGGCTAAAGGTTATAGCCAGTACTTAATGGGGGAGCTAAGTGTGACTGCTTCTTGTAGAATATGCCCCTAAGTCAAATGTCCCCATGGCAAAAAGAAGAAAAATAAAAAGGAAAAAGGCATGCACATGTGTACACACTCACATCTCACACCATGCACACAGATGCTTCCCAAGACTGTGTTCAGGCCCCTAAGGGACAATTCCTGCCTGGTGGTCCTGTCCAGAGGTGGCCTTCCACTTGGTGAAGTTTCCAAGAAGACTAGGGACTATTGGAGCTCAAAGGGCGGCTTTTACTTCCCCTCTAAGGAAACAAGGGCTCCAGGCATGACACAGAACTTGTGCCAGTGAAGGGAGGCAGAATAAATGGTACTCTGAGGCTGTTTCATCTCAAGAAAGCCATGGACCCACTACCTCCCTCCAGGGTTATGATTTGCTCTGGCCCATTACAAGGAGCTCACTCCTCCAAGGATGCATATTTTATTATTTTTGTGTGTACCATCAAATCGGATCTGACTGGTACAGGAGATTGCCCCTCCTTCCCCAGCAGAGCATCTGGCGGATTCGAACCACACACCTCTGAGACTGCAATGCAGCTTCTTGCCACTAGGCCACCAGAGCTCCCTAAGTCTCCCCTTTCTAAGAAAATGCTTCCACATAGTTGTCTTAACCCAATTCCTCACTTCCCTGAAACTACACCAATCACGTTTGAGCCTGAAAACTCCCCAACCCTACTATTTTCAAATTCACAAAACACTCGGTGCTGGCGGGTCCAACTAGCTGACCATCCAGCAGGTTTTTGGAGGCTGTAAATCTCACAGGAGGAGACTGCCCATCTGTCTCCCTCAGAGTCGTTGGTGAGTCTGAAGTGCCAGAGGGGCCACCTTTGGATGAGCAGTCCAACTCCCTAAGAACGATACCACCAGAACTCCCAGGGACCTGGTAAAAGGCTACTTCAGGAGTTCACGTAAGAGGTGCCCTCAACTAAGCGGCAGCCTTCAGAACCTCCCTCAGCTCCATCCAGCTCACAAAGCCCACCAGCAATTATTTACATAACCACTTGAACATCTGTTTCACTTGGCCTCCCGGCACCTCTCCTGGTTTTGCTCCCAACTCGTCTTTCTTGGTTCTTCCTTATCTCTCCAATTTCTTAACATGGGCATTCCCCTCGGCTCAGGTCTTTCCACACTTCAGGTGCCATCCACACTTATAGAAGCTGTCCGGGGATAGCAGAACCATAACTAATGGCCTAGGCCACTTCTCCAACTGGATGGCCAAACAGACATATAAAGATGTATCATGTCCAGAACCAAAATCTTGACCATCTCCCTTTCCCGAGATCTCCATCTAAGGAAATTTTAACACATCTTTCACATTTATTAAGTCAAAATAGCTGGAGTGATTACTGACTCCCTGCTTGAGGTCACATCCGATCTGTCACTAAACCCTGTCAACTCTGCCTTAAAATCTAACTAGCACACAATCCCCTCTCACCAACGTTACTATTACCCCTGTAGAGTAACTCCCCACCACTCACGGAGTTGAAGGCAATAACCTCTGAAAACTTTCCACCAGTGTTCTTTTGGTAATTCATTGCTGTTAGCTCCAATAAGCTGGTTCAGACTCATGGAAAATGACATCTGTCTGATCCTTGCAATGCCTCCTCACCTCACACAGTTAAAGTCCACAATGGACACTCACCCATCATTGCTAATGAGTTGGAACCCACTCAGAACCAAGTCACTGCTGACCCTCTCCTAATTTTTCCAAGGCTGTAAATCTCACGGGAGGAGCCTGCCCATCTTTCTCCTGCGGAGCCGCTGGTGGGCTCGAACCGCATGCCTTTGCTCACTAGACCTCAGCGGTCCTTAGAGAGCCTATTCAATCTGGTCACCTTTACCCTCTGGATCGCCTCTTTTACCTTTCTGACCCCATTCTCTTTCTTACTTTATCTCAGCACATTGGCTTCTCTGTTCCCTGAACACATATTCCCCCTCACGGTATTTGCTATTTACTCTGTACAGAAGATTCTCTTCCCAGTTGCCCACAAGGACTAGTCCCTCATCATCTTTAAGTTTCTCCCCAAATGCTTCCTTCTTGGCGAAGACCTGACCACTCTCCTGACCTCTCATCCTTCACTTTGCTCCAACATACCACGCATTGCCATCTAACGTAGTTTATGTTGCATCACTTACGTTACCTATTGTCTATCCCTCCACACATAAGAGTATCAGTTCTATGGGAGCACATTTTTGTTGTGCTCACTGCTGCGAGCAACCTCAGGGTCAATAAAAAGTTACTCGCATATGGAAGTGGCTCATAAGATTATGGGTTGAATGAGCTGAACAAAAGGAACAATTCTCCGTTATCCGGGGGAAAGCACTGAACGCAACGATCGCTCATCTCCTCTGCAGGACATACTAGAAAAGGGGAGCTCTAGTCTAAGAGCGGACTGCGTGGCTGTGACACTCCAACAACGTCTCGCTGTGAACACTGAGAACGGACATCCTCAGGGAGATCCAGGTGCGCTTGGGGGCCACGAGGCGCTGACAGCGCAGCCCGCGCAGGGCCCTCGGGGCAGAGGAGGGTCGGCGCCCACTGCTCCCGGTGCGTGGCGGCCACTCCCCGGCCCTTACCGATGTTGCCTTCGATGGAGAGCCTTCGGGGGCCGAGCTCCGCGTGCAGGCCCCGGGACGGGGACGCAGCCTCGAGCCAACTGCGTGCCATGGAGCCTGCAGGTGCACGCACAAGCCTTACAAGCAGCTTCCTCATAACCATCCCTCCCGCCGTCTGTGCAAGCAGCACTTCCGCCGAGCGCACTTCCGGCGCACACTCGCCGATCTCAGGCGCGCTGATGACGTCAGGAGGCCGCCGGCCGGGAGGTGGGGTGGGCGGGGCCGCGTGGGAGGGTGGGGCTATGCGAGAGGGCGGGGCCGGGACTGTGCAGTTCTCGCGAGAAGCGTGGAGAGACAGAGAACCCCCCCACACCTTGGTGTGGGATTGCGTGATAACAGATGCTGCCGCTGCAGCTGGAGCTCGAGCTTCTGTTTTTGTTCTCTGGATAATTAACCCTTCAAACAATCCCATCGCCTTTGCATTTTTTATAACGTTAAAAGAAATTTTATCATTCAAACCAAACCAGAATAATTGCACGATTAACAGTTTAGAAATTTTTTTTTCGTTTATTATATTATTTTGTGTGTGTGTACCGTCAAATCGGATCTGACTGGTACAGGAGGAGATTGTCCCTTCTTTTCCAGCAGAGCATCTGGTGGATTTGAACTGTGTGCCTCTGGGATTGCAGTGCAGCTTCTGCCACAACAGTTTAGAATTTTAAGGCTTTTAAAAAGAATTGCAATTTAAAAATTCCTCCCCACCCCTCTAGGTGTTGGTTATCTGGGTTTTTAGTCTAACGTAGGAAGAAATGAAACATTTTAAGATAGAGAATTGGAATGAGCTGAGGATTTACACAAATTAACTTTGGTTTTTATTCCGCCATGTGTCATGCTGGTCCATTGTTGATTAGAAATCAGTGTCTCATTTATACCCCACTTCTTATTTTCTCTCTTGAGTAACTAAATGTTCACTCAGTTGAATGGCTTAACAGTAAACATTTCCATCAGGTTCAGATGGTGGTGTCCATCAGGAGCTGCACCGCTAACCCAAAAGGTGGCATTTCTCTGTGTGTTTGGAATTCATCAGCTACTTCTCAGGACGACGATGACCACTCACCTCCGTGGTCTACAGTCTTAAAACCCAGAAGGTCAGTTATGAGTTCATTCCGACTCACCAGCGGTAAGTGAGTGAGTGACTAATGACAGCAAAGTTCTCTTCATGTATTTGCTGCCTGCCTGAATGTCATCGGCCAAGTGTCTGTTTTTGTCCTTAGCCCGTATTTCATTGGATGTCTGTGTTTTTGTTGTTGAGCTGTTGAAGTTTCTATAAATTGTAGGGAGCTTGTACCAGTTTGGGTCAACTAGGAAGAACATTTCCAGAACCTCCTTCCTCCAGAACTCCAGGTTGGAGTTGACCACAAGGGGATCTTGTGTGAGATTTGGAAAGCAGATTAGTGCATCAGCAACTCCTTAGGGAGGTGTCAGTAATCACTCGACAGAGTAGCACAGCAGACAACTCTGCTGACCCTCCCTGATCACCTACAGCGCCTTCCCTTCTGGGCCTTCACTTACCCAGTTCCTCCCACTTTGGGGAACGTCTCATTCCTGTAACAAGCCCTTTATTCTCATAATACTTGCATGCCTCACCAAATGCTGACTCATACATCTAACAATAAAGGAGATACACAGTGAGCTGGCTAAGAGTATGAGCTGGATTCAGATGAAAACGGATAAAAAGAATCTATAACACTTGACACAGTGCCTGGAACATAACATCCAACAGATATTAAGATGATCAATAAATAATTACCGTCCTCAGCGTGCTCCTCAGTGCCTGGGATATTATTTCTATCTTTCATTAGTGAATTTTTACATTCTTCAAGCCACTGTAATGGATCCATGAACAGAAGCTTGGTATCTATTGGTAACCACTAATAACCTCAACCTCTATCTGCCTGTTTTGTGTAAGTGAGATCATAGACTATTTGTCCATTAGAGCCTAACTTATTTTGCTCAGCATAGTGTTTTCAAGGTTCATCACACTGTCGCTTGCACCAGGATGATTCTCTTTATGGCCGAGTGGTGGTCATTGTCTGTATATACTGCCTTTTACACGTCCGTTCATCTCATCATGGACATTTAGGTTGTTTCCACCTTTTGGCTATTGTAAGTCAGTCACGCTTCCGCACTGCCGTCCAGTTGGAACTGACACAGAGCTGACCTTTCAGAGGCTGTAAATCACACAAGAGGAAACTGCCCCTCTTTTTTCCCTTCAGAGCAGCTGGTGAATTCCAACGAACTACCTCTGAGTTCTGCAGCTCCTCACCCCCAGGCCACCGTAGCTCCATACACCACTGCAGAAAGCTGCTTCTTAGTTACCCAGCCAGCCTCCCCTTCTCCCTTCTCTGTGCCTTGGCCATAGGGAGTAGTGTCAGGGTGCCACCCCATCTCCTAGAATCCCCTCTATGTGTTTCTGAAGTACCCCCACCCCCCGGCTTCTCTTTCAGTGACCCATGGCTCTTCTTTGGAGGACTGTCCAGCACAGGCGGAGAACTGTGTGCCCCTCTGGAAACACTCTCATCAGTCACCGAAGGGTACAGGCTGGTGAAAGCCCCACTCTCTTGCCTCCACTTGGGAGACTCTGAGGCTCCAGGTCCACTCCCAAGCTCCCACAGGGGGCTGGGCTGAGGCGTCCCACTGTAGGTTGCTGAGACCTGGACTGTGCTCACCTCCCTGCCAGCACCCCACTCCCACCTGCTGTGGCCTCTCCCTTCCTTATGCTTTTACCGGGAGCACCATCTTGGTCCACCCTTTTCACAGGAATACTCACTTCAGAATCTGCTTCTGAGAAAAACAACTCAAGTACATGTCTAGTACTGTAGAGGGTCAGCGAGGAAGAGGAAGGCCCTCAACGAGCTGGGTTAACACAGTGACTGCAGCAGTGCCAAGCTCGAAGCTGGCGCAGGACTGGGTGGTGCTGTGCTTTGATTGTGCACAGGGTCTTGATGTTGGAGGCACCTAACAATGACAACAAGGAATGTGGGGTGGGAGGAAAGCCCTTATCCATCCCACCTGGATATCATATCCAGACCATGGTAGTGAGTGTTGGGAGAGAAGGAATGCTTAACCTTGAGGTTCATGTGTTTTACTGCTGGGCTCCACCATCTCCAGTAAGCGCATCTGGGGAAGTTGATGGACCAGGTGGGATTTATTAGGACGTAAAGGCTGTGACGTGGCTCCATGGAGAGAAGGGAGGGTTTACCAGGTATAACTGGGAAAGTACTTCTGCCACTAACCATAAAGTAGCATTAAAGTAGCAATGAACCATCACCCACCCACCTCCTGGGCTGTGAATGTAATCCCTACAAAGCTCTTAGCACAGCAGCCAGCAAGCATGCTCTAAGTGGGAGCTCCTGGCCATTATCATCTCTTATTTCTCCCTAGTTCCTCGTGGGTGCTTCTATTTCATCTCGTATCATGGTGATGTGTGTGCAGGCCTGTCCCTCCCTATTCGCAGCTGAGACCAGATGGACCGCAGTCTTCTCCAGGGGTGACCTCAATGCACATGGCCTTGTCCAGCTAGGGGCAGAGAAGTTGTTACATACTTGCAGAAGTGCATGGAATTGACCAAGGACAAGGTGGGAATAAAAAGGGAGAGGGCAGCAAAAGAGAAAGGAGGGGAGAAAAGGAGAGTTGGTTTTTTTTTACCTTCCCTAACACTCAGAGAGTTGGACAATGACTAGGGAGGACAGAAGGAGAATTGATGCCTTTGAGCTGTGGTGCTGGAGAAGAGTATTGAATGTACCATGGACTGCCAAGAAAACAAACAGATTCAGCCTGGAGAGGGTTAAACCAAGCTACTCCTTGGAGGCAAGGATTCTGGGGCTTCGTCTGACATACTTTGGACATGTTGCAAGGAGGGACAGATCCTTGGAGAGGGACATCATGCTTGGGAGGGTGGAGGGACAGCGCAGGAGGGGAAGGCCCTCTATGAGGTGGATTAATTCAGTGACTGGGGTAATCAGGATGGGTGTGTCAGAGGCAGTGCGATTGTCACAGGACAGAGCAGGGTTTAGGGCTGTTGTACATAGGGTCGCTATGAGTCGCAAACGACTCGACGGCATATTACAACAACAACACACCAACAACAACAACACTGCTCTTTTCTTGTTTTCTTCTGGGGAAAATACCATCTAACCCTTAACAACAAGGACCCAGCAGTGCTCTCAGGTCAACTATGGCCATTCCATGTCCCAATTAAAATACTATTCTAGTCTATTCGAACTCCTTGCACATCACCTCTAAAAAGCTTTCTGTTATGACTTTTGCTGTTCATGTTGTCTGATGCATTGTCGGGGAGTACAGAAGTTACAGCTCTGAAAGTCTGTGTTTCTTAAACACACCCGAGTCATCCAGCCCTGGTTCTCACGTGTTTGAGGGCAAGGGAGCAAGGCTGTCCAGCAGAGGGGCTCTGGCTTTGGGGGATCTGAGTTCTGCTCTTGTCCTGTGTGACCCTGAGCAATGTTGTCACTTCTGTGAGCTTCCACTTCCTCCTGGAATGAGGAGTGAGAGGCCCTGAGGACAGGGGGTGGGAAAGAGGAGCATCACACGGGAGTAAGGCTTGCGGGCTTTAATGCCTCAGTGACAGAGCAGCCTGGGAGAGCCCGCCCTGCCTTTAGAAGCACTTCCTGTGGACGATGGAAGGCCCAGCCTCGTCATACTCAGGCTTGCTGATCCACATCTGCTGGAAGGTGGAGAGGGAGGCCAGGATGGAGCCTCCGATCCACACCGAGTACTTCCGCTCTGGGGGAGCAATGATCTGCAAAGAGCAAACATGCTGATTTGGGAACAGTCTCCAAGGAAAAAGAGACTGTGATCCCACCACCCTGCAGGCTGCCCTGTGAAAAAACTGCCTTCACAAAGAGGAGACAACAGGACAAACAAACATGGTGGCAAACTCACCTCAACTCAACCCAACTCAACTCAACTCAACCCAACTCAACCCAACTCAACTCAACCCAGCTCAGCTCATTGCAATTGGGTCAGAGCCAACTCACAGCTGCCCCCCAGTGAGTTCTCAGGTTCTAAACTGCACAAGAAGAGATTGTCACCCTCTCTCTGAGAGCGACTGATGATTAGCCTTTGGCACATGCACCACGGATG